GCAGGTCCTGATGTGGGTGGGTGTGGGCAGACTGCAGTAGAGCCAGGCTGCATCAAAAAGCGCTTCCTCCCACAAGACACTGAAAAGGAACTTCCCTACACCACAGACATCTGAAGGCCTGTCAACCAGTGTACCAGCCTCTTCTGTCTGGTTCTGCTGGGTCCCTGGGCCACCTTTCCTTCACGAGATTATCTAGGCCCACTTCTGTGGACATGAGTGTGACTGACTGAAACCAAGACAGGATACAAGCTGATGAAGGTGTACTGCAACTGGCCCCTGCCCTGTGATAAAGCTATAGAAACACATAGCTGCCAAAACTTTCTGTCTGGCTCTTTTCCACCAGGACCTATTCCGTTCCCTTTCCCCACACTCTGTAAGGGCTCCTGAATGGAATTTGGACCTATGCATAAAACAAAGATGTGACCAAAGCTGATTCTTGGCTCTCACCTCTGGTGGCCAGGTGTTGGAGACTTAGGGAAATTTTCAAGGCCTGTTTTGACTAAGTGTGACCGCCTTCCAATACCAACTTCAGGATCTCAGCCCCAGTTATGACATATCTCTACTGCAGGGTCACTCACTACCAGATCAGATGCCACTGTCTGCATGATTCCAGATATTTCCCCAGGTAAAATGGGCTCCATGTGTATAAATGGTGAATAGACTGACCTGCAACATCTTCTGTGGGCACAGCTTTAATCTCACACTTTCTTCACCTTTAAGGATCAAGGCATCCAAGATAATTCACCTGAATGGTCCAGCCAGCCAGCCAACTACTGACTTAACTGTGTGAACTTAACTCTTAATCGTCTGCCACATAGAGGCTCTTCCCTACACATAAAAATCTAAAATACAGAACACTGTCAGGACAAGATATGGACTGTTTCTAATCAAGTGCATTTCCTACGTGAATCAGAACAAAAAAACATGTCACTGAAATAAAGTAAAACTATAATCTAAATATTGTTTAAAACAATCCATTTTAATCATCTAAATTATTTACAATACAATAACATGGATCCTTTTAAAGACATTGGATTTTAAAAAATCACCAAGTGATACTTCAAAGAACACATTAAAATATATTAATAAAATTTTTTCAGTGCTCAAAACTCCCCCCACCCCTGACATGGGACAGCAGGCTCTAGACCAAAGTGCCTAAAATACAAGTCTTCCCAGTTTGCCCATCACACCAGTTGTTAAGAAAAAAGGTTAATCAGTTTGTTTTCAAAATTTCTCCCTATAAAATTTTCCTGGAGAGAATGGTGGATCCCAGGACTGTGGCTAAGTGTGGATGATGGACCAAAGCAGAGACCAGACCAGCTGGATACAAATCCCCAAACAGAGGATGCCCCAAGTCTTCCCACCGAGGCTCATCTGTCTGCCTGTGACTCACTGGTTGTATACAGAGAGCCACCTGGAGCCTCGAGGATG